TGTTTCCTGCTGATTTTTATAATCAGAGAAATATTGGAGCCAATTCCATTAAATAGTCAGGAATACCCAATGTCACAATTATTCAGCATTGTTTTCGAGGTTGTTACCTACGGCAATGAGAAGAAAAATAATAATTTGTAACATAAGTTGCACAGTTAATAAGAAAAAGACAACCCAATAGAAAAATAGGCAAAAGATATGAACAGATAATTCACAAAGGAGAAAATCCATATAATGAATCAAAATCCATATAATATACTCAACCACATCTGTAGTTGGAGAAATACAAGATTAAAACAAAAATCATTTCCCTTTATGAAAGATTTGTAAAAAATAATAATGGTACAATGAGCAGGTGGTGTTGATTATGGTGTAAATGATAAAGCAGTTTGGCAATATCTATTAGAATTAATTATTTTAATACATAGGTAATCCAACTTTGGGGAGGAAAATTATGTAAACCCTTCTCTTAGGGATAAAAATGATTAGAAGAAAGAATTTCCTTTTAGAAATGGAAATAATTAAAGGAAGTCCTAGCTTAATTTTGAAAGCTAAAGACTCAAATACATTTTGCTTTGACAGAATTTAGGTGTATTTTTTTTATCATCTCCTTAATAAGTCTGAATGTGTCTATGTTTCAGGTATTTCTCTTATATATACTATACAGCTGAATTTTTTCAATCCAATGTAATAAGCTCTGTAGTCTACTTTGTTTACATTTATTATCATTTCTGATTTATTTTCACTGTCATTACAGTTCTATTGCATTTACTTCCCATCTTATTCTGTGTTTTCTACTAACCATACTTCTTTGCTTTTATTTTCCTTTCCTCCCTTTCACGTTGAATTTCCTTTTCATATGCATATTTAAATTTTCTTTCAACAGATTTTTCTTGAATTAAAGTTTTTAGAATTTGTTCTGTTTCATTGCTTTTGGTTTTCTTCTTCAAGGACTTCTGCTATATGTATGTTAAATCACCTGTGCCTAATTTTTATATCCATCACTTTCTCCACATCATTTTTTCTCTGTTATTTTAATTTTCCTCCATCTTTAATTTCCCTTAAGAAGTTATCTATGGCATCTTATTTACTCTTGTGTTCCTTCTAATTTGTTCTTCATGTCTGAAATTATTTTTTAAGTTTCGTATTCTTTCCTGAGCTCGGCCAGCAATATTTTCATACCTTCCTATTATCTTCTCTAGTTCATTGGGAAATTTTCCCATTTCTCAGTTTTTCAAATTACGATGTTATTTTTTAATCTTTCCATTACTTCATAATTTCTTTCATCTCATTTTATAATACACTCTGTTTTTATCTGTTTTATGGGCATATCTGTCTGGCATGCCTTTGTTGTCTATGACATTAGTTCAACTGCACTTTTCCTGTTTCTCCTCAGTATTTATTCCAGTAAATGTCATCTGCATCACTAGCTGTTCTTGTCAGAATCCTGGAACTCATTCTTAACACCTTCTTTTACCTCATCTAATCACCAGTTAATCCAGGTCTACCTCTAAAATATATTTTACATGCTTTAAATTCCCAATTCCACTGTGAGTTCCCTAATTCAAGTCACCAGTATCACTCATCTGAACTACTGCAATAGCCTCCTGCTTGTCTCTAAACATCTACTTTTGCCTCCTATATGAGTCAGGGTTTTTACTTGCAAACATCAAAATCTAACCTAGTTAGTTTACACAGAGAATATATTTATTAAAGGATATCAGCTCACAGACCCTCGAGGAGGGAAAGAGATTCAGGCT